ACTCTTTTCCATAAATCCTTGATCACCATTTCCAAAGAAGCGTTTCTTCAAAACTTTATATTTTGAAAGTAATAAAACTTCAAAACTCTTTTTAAAAACATCTGATTCACTTGGCAGTAGTTATACTATACCCTTCTTATTTACCTTTTCTCTTCACAAATCCTTTACCTAAGAAGTTAATGGCAAGAAAGCTTTTCTAGAAAGAAGAAATCAGATGAAAAGGTACACTCACTCTTTTCCTTATGGAGGTCTCAGAGTCTAAAAAGAAGTTTGAGCCAACAACTTCATGCCAGCCAGTAGGTAGACATCAATACCACAGGCAAAAATGGCTTCTCTATCAGCGTATAGTAATTTTCTTGGTTTTTTTGAGGAATTTTGTCTACTCTAGCTTGACCCAGAATTTTCTGTTACACTAGATTCTGAACGAATAGATTGGCTGAAGTCTGGGATTGGTTGTTCCATGATTAGCAGAAATATAAATAAGGATACACATGACATGGGACATGAAAGTATTTTCTAAGCTTCATAAGAACCTTAAATCTATTATAAGTCACCAGCTAGTTGTACAGATGGATAAACATCATATGAACTGTAATCTCCTCTCTCTAATTAACTCTGAAAGTATCAAGGCTATGAATTAAGTATTTTCAGAGGCAAAGTTGGATAAATGAGTAGTTGTTAGGCATCCCTTCATTCCTTTTCTTATTTTATTTTCTTATAAATATTTTTAACCTTCCCTTCCATTTTAAAAATTTTTTTTAATACTGACTAGTCACAAAACTAGTACAAGAAATCTCCAACATCAGATGGTATTGGAACTCTTGTATGAATCTTGGCATGTTAGGTTTCATTAGTGGATAGCAACAAGCTAATCGATGGGTGCATTAGTGTACTCTAGATAATGTCAATTTCTGAATATAGGGATGGATAAGCAATGCACAGCTTATGTATCTCACTTGTCTCTCACTTTGTTTTTAAAAGAGAAGTATTTATACTAGGCAAACATGTATTTTTCTTATTCTGATTAGGTTAGATATAGATCAAGTCATAAAAATAGATAGCTCCTTGTTCTATTTCTCTCTAGTGATCTGTAAATCCTTAGACAGTATGGGAAAATATTCATCCCGATTGTTGCTAAATATGATTTTTTCTTAATAAAGCACTGAAGAAGGTATGGAATGAGCCAGTTTTAAAATAATAAAAAAATCATTTTGTTGCATGTGTTCCTAGTTAGGATTATATCATTGCAGAAATATTCTAGGCTGGACATGAGGATATGATTGATTATATACTGGAGGAAACAAGGGAGTTTTTCAGTTAGGAATATAATTATGCCTAGCTGGCTCTAGCTTGTCTTCTACTATATTGACCTTTTTTGATTATTGTATAGCTATTTGATCTTTTTTTGCCTTGAAATATGTCTAGAAATCTATATTGCTTTCTTGTTTAGCTGGAGACTCTGAAAACTTAATTTTAATGATAAGCGTTTTGTTTTTATGATACATTTTTATTATACAAAGAATATATCATATAACTATTTGATCTTTTTTTGCCTTGAAATATATCTAGATAACATTTAGCTTTCTTACTTAGTTTGAGTTTCTGAAATCCATTATTGCTAGCTGTATAAGGGTGCAAAGCACTCGCAAATGTGAAGTGAAACGGAGCATTTAATTAGCATATTGTTTCTAATGTTTAGAGTCCTGCCTCCTTATGATTGAATCACACGAGAAAAAAAGGAAAAAAGTAGGTAGCCTACTTTTTCATAATCAAGTTTATTCGAAGTCAGAAAAACCGTTAATATATATCTTGCACATTGATTTGTAACATCATCCATTATTTGACTTTAAGTGAGTAATCAAGAGAAGGTGAGCGAAAACAAATTTTATAAGTGTTTTAATGTATAATAGCTACCATCATGTTTTTTACATAGCCCAGATTTGGCACCAGTAGGTTTACCACATACAAGACAGGGTTCACAAAAATTTGACAAATAATGCTCCCAACAGCCTTCAGCTCTGTGATAACGTCTATTACATAAAGAACCATTATTGTGAAGGCATCGGCAAATATACAGTAGCATTAGTATAAAATACTTTGTAATATTATTAATCAATTATTCGTTAAATACAGTATAACAAATTTCAATTTAGAAAAAAACATGGTTATATGTAGTAAATATATTTATTATGGCTGAACAAAATATTAATATAAATTCTATCATAGCAAAAGATATAGAAAAGGCATTATTTGGAAGCTTAAATTCATCAATTCGTTGAAAATTCAAAACTGATAACAAATTCGTTAAAGATCATCTTAGTTACGTAACTAGATTACAGTCAGTAAAAGAACCAGAAAAATATATTCGATATAAAGCAAGGCAACTCATGCCAGATGAGAGATCATACAATAGAAGAATAGAGTATATTCATGGTCACTATTTAGGAGAATTATGTGAAAGACTTGAAAAATTATATTACGAGTTAGCTCAGGAGGAAGAAAAACATGAAATTTCTGAGATAGATGCAAGCAAAATTATTAAGGGTCTTCTCAAATTCTGTATGACCTACAATTCCACTGATTGCCCATAATTTTTTTCCGTACCCCTGCATTATATTAAATTTTTATATATAAAGCAGTATACCTACCATGTCTATTTTCAAAACCGAACACGATGTGTACTTAGTCAAAAACTAGAATACCAAGACCCTTGTCCTTTACCTGCAAAAGCAGGGCCTAAAGCTTGACGATAAGGACTTCGCTATTATCTGCCAATGAAAAATCGATGGTCAGGTCTTTCTTGATATGAGTAAGGACAACTTCAGGGAGTGTGGATTGAAAATGGGACCAGCTATGAAACTTGCAAAAGAAGCAAATGCTCTCAAGACCATGCCGAAGCATCCTTTCTCCTCATATCACAGTTTGAAAGAAGTGCTGGCAAAATATGACCTTAATAATGGGATGACAAGTATTCTGCAATTTAAACCAGGTAAGTTTTTTTTTTTTTTTAAATTGCTGGCTCAGCCTTACTTTATTTGAAATATGGTGGGTATGTATATGTATTGTAATATCTACCTATGTTTACCAAATATAGTTTGATAAAGAAACAGTCTTTCGATCATACTTATCTCACAGCTTGTTGCCATCTCATTTCGAAGGAAGCTAACCTGCCAAGGCTGGGCTAGTGCTGTACGAAAATTCCAGGATGGTAAAGGGGGTGATTATGTTTTGGATGGTTTTGTTCATGTATTTGTTGACTAGCTATATAAATTGGTTTTTGATATGGTCTTCTCTTTCTTTGAGCCATGGCTCAATTTCGTGTTTGGTGTATTTGCTTTTTTTCTACATCTTTCTGGTGATGTCTTGTTGTGCTTTCCAGAGTTGAAAAACTTCACAACATTTTTTCCATATCTTTTGAAAGTAGTTTGTGATGGTTTTTTTGATTTCTATATAGCATTTATGTCTGTGTTGTTTTTCTGGAATTGTTTCACGAATGAGTTGAGTTGTTTCCTTGAGGAAGGCTCCTCTGATTGCACATTTCAGGTATCTCTCCTAATAGAGTGATGTTTTTTCCTTTAGTTTATTTATCCATTCTGATATGTTGGTCTTGTTTGAATGTTTTGTATGTTTGTGCTTATGCTATTGATTAGAAAGTGTTCTGTCATTTTTCTGTGTGCGGTGCAGATAAAGGGATGTATATTTGTTTCCATCTCTCCACACTTTATACACAAGTTGTCTTTGTATATTGAAGGTGTTCTGTGATGTAGTTTCATTTTTGTGGGCAATTCTTCATTCCATAGACTTAGCAGGAATCTCCTTTGTTGTTGGTCCTTCCAGTTTATCATGTGGTTGCTCATTTTGATGATTTGGAGATATTTGAAGATGGTGGGCCAGTAAATTTTTTGAATTAAGTGGTCATCGAAATTGTTTCTAGTTCTGTTCAAGAGCCTCTATTTAGCTAGGTGAACTGCTTGTGTAATTTGTTTGGTTGTTTCTTTTATTGGTATTTTCAGGTCTTGTTCATTCCATTGTATATCGAAGTGTATTTCTTTTAGAGTTTCAGTTTTGTATGCGATATTTCTTGTGTTAGGCTTCATTCCTCTATATTGGCCAATTTCTGTCGATTGATCTGCTAGTTCATTTTGTGTATTTCCTGTATGTGCCGGACTTTGAACAGTTCCAGCTTTATATTTCTTTGCTTGCAGATTTCTTTGATTAACTGTAGTATGTTTGAGTTTTTTTGTTTTTTGTAGTATTATATAGTGGTAAGCTTGTTAGTTTTTTGGATGCAGTTGATGGCTATCATGCTGTCTGTATATATTTGTGCTCTGCTGTAGTGGAGAAGAGTACTAATGGCTGTAAGAATGACCATTAGTTCTGCTCTGGTCAAGGAGGGAAAGTTTTGGACTTGACCTTGGAAATTGAAGTGTCTATTGTCTCTGGTTGTTAAGGTCCATCCTATTCCCATGTGGTGTTGTTTATTCTGCCAGCTCATAGAGCCATCAATATATATGTCAAAGTGCATGTTGTCTTGAAGCTCTTGACTGATATTGTGAAGTTCTTTAATGATTGATTCCTCTGTGTTATAAAGGTTGTATATATAGTTTTGTATAGATTCTTCTTTGATGCTTTCAGTTTCTGTGTTTCCCTCCCTTTCTGTTTGGGATGGATGTGTTAGAGCTAGCAACCCTAATGATAAGGAGTTTGGTGATATTCAGCTTCTAAAGTTTAGTTCTTTGTTGATTGGATATTGTTGTGTTGATATTCTACTACGATGTACTGGTATTTCTACTGTTGTCTGCCTTGTTGCTTCAAAGTTGCAGGTAGTCTCAGGATTGTTTGACTGGTTGATGTTACAGCCTGGGCATTCCAGTAAGGGGAATTGTTCTCAGTCCCGTATATAGTGTTTGTAAGTTGCTGATTCTATGTTTATTTTTTTTTGTTTTCTACCAATGACTATTTGATTGTTTATTTCAGTTCCGACCCAATGTGGTCTTGCGATATTACTTGTTGTTTAAACCAGGTAAGTAGCTGATTTTTGTTACAGATTTATTTTTCATATATTAACCTACGAATCCCTATTAGACATTCACCAATTCGACGACGACGATGAGGAATTCCTTCATTGTGTAAAGGACATA